CACACGAGCACTTATAGTGTAAGTTAGAGGTCCTACTTGTCCCTGGATGCTTTCACTTCTCTGTCAGAGTGAGTACCAAATTAGCATAAGGAAATGCTTGCACTAGTGATTATAAATACAAAGAATGCAATTTACTTTCATTTACATTGGAAATGGCATATTTAATGACTGGTTATCACATCCCTTCCTGGTCCTTCATCACCTTATTCTGTCTTTCCACCATCTCCACAGTAACTTCTGTGGCCAAGAACTGTCCTTTTTCACTTAAAAAAAAAAAAGTTGATTTCATATATATTTTTAAATGATCATTTTCTTTACACTTCCATGAAACCATTTTAGCATCTCAGCACTAAAGCGGTGTGGTATTTCCCCTTGCACCTGAAGACCACTCAGTGCGCCTCATCCCGTCTGGAGGGTTGCTTTCCCTGCGCTTTGCTTTATCCTTTGCAAGGAGTGTGGATTTTGCCTTGCACGTGTCTTAAACCTTTTCCCACGAATGAATTAGTAAGAAAATGCCAGCACTGAATGATCCAAGGTAACGCTTGCTCTGCCTCTTGTGTGAGGGTTTGTGTTGCAGGGGGAGGGGGTGGTTTTGCTTTTGGTTCCCTTTTGAAATACCACCTCAGGAGGAACTGTGAAGTGACCAAGTGACCTGGCGTTACCTGTGGCACGTGTCCCTGGAAGGATGCGTGATGCGAAGACTCCCAACCTGACAGGCAAAAAAAAAATTTTTTTATCTGGTAAAAATCAGTGTGCTGTGGGGTTTTTGTTTAGATTCTGTTTTGTTTAAAGCAGCCACCGATGCCTTGTGTTTAAGTCTGAAGCTTAGTTTTCAGTCTAAAAGAGACTTTGTTCATTCCCAAAGTTTCTAGACTGTGCTCTGAAAGGGGAGGCTTGTCCAAAAACTGGAGTTGGCAACTTTGAGCACTGAGATCATGACTTGATATAAAATATATTTTGTTCATCTTGTGTCTGTGCTTCTGTGTATTGCAATGTGTGTAAGTGTGCAGTTGAAGAAGGAATTTTCTTGAAAACTAAGATAAATCTACTATTAATAGTACATTTTAGTTGTGAAAAGCTTTGATTAAGATAGCTAAATGCTTTTCAGTAGTTGAAGTAAGAAGTGGTGCCCGCAGGTAGGTTTAAGTGTAAGCTGTATTGCTTTTGTCCAATAAAATGATATTGTAGGTGAATTGTGTTTCTGTAGAGGACAATGGGATTCACCAGTCACTGATGCGTGCAGCTATTGCAGCCAGGCAAACGTTCGTCTCTCATGCAGTGGTGAAGTGTGGCCGTATGCCTAACAAGGAACACCAAGGGGCCAAACATGAACTGAAAAGCCGATGTGTCTTTTTTGAGAGCCTCTGTGTTGTTTCCTGAACTGGTATGGATGTGTGGGACTTACAGAACCATCTGAAAACTTTATTGCTAAGTGAATGACCTATGGGTCATTATAGGTATGAATTCATGTTTAAAAAAAAAGAAAAAAGCCATCATCTGGCTCCATCTTTTCTATTCCCTCTATTGACTAGATAAATCCCGCTGTTACATGTTTCCTCGAGTGATGTTTAAATGCGTTGTAGCTGAACTGTGAGGTTTGCCTGAAGAAAGATGAGGCTGAGGAGGTAGATGGTGAACCATGTGCTCTCTTTTTGTTCTCTCTCCCTAAATTGAACACACCTTTTAGAAGGAAGGGGGATGTGGGGCCGAAGTACAGCCCTCTCTGAAATGCTGCACCCACATGGTAGATGCATGGGCTTAGTGACCTGACTCCTGTTCATGGAGCTGAGGCCCTGGGCTTCTTCCAGATGGACGGGTCACCTCTGTACCACATCAGCAGCTGTGCTTTACAGGGAGAAAGCTGATCCCAAAGTTCTTGCCAGTGCAGGCTGTTACCATGAGGGGACTTGCTATTGCGTGCCTACAGACTACACCAGCATGCACAACTTATGTAAGGGTCTTGTATACACCGCAGCCCTTCAGTAAGCCCTGCAGAGTTGATTCACTGCTGTACGGCATTAGCTCTTGCTGCTTGTGTCTAGCAGTGACAGCTTCAAGGCCGTCTGCGTCATGTGGGATGGCACGAGGTCATCTACAGTGATGTAGTTGGGGTTGGGATCAGAGGTGTGCTGTCATCTTAGCTTTCAAACGCTAATGTCTGCAAAGCTGCGTGCACCTCCTTACAGGTCTGTGCCGTGCTACAACGTGTGCTTTATCGAAAGGAGAGAGCCTTGCTTCCTTTAGTTCTGACCGCATGGACAGCTACTTCAGAATACATCCATGTTCACATCTGTATCGCTGGGTGGCTTGTAGCATGGTGGTGCAGAAGCCAGTAGGGAACTACAAACTGCATCTATTTTTCTATATGTTGTCTTCTCTAAAGACCTCAGGCTAGGCAGAAAATAAATCACTTCCTTACCTGTTCTTACCTACCTGCATTACCTCGTTAGGGACGCTGCTGACACGTACAAGGGGCTGTACTGAATATGTGACATCTGTGCTTCCCGAGGTCTTCCCCAGGTGGTAATCACAAGTATTATCAGGATGTACACGTGCATTGTCACTGTCCGTATCTATCCTGCGCTGCTCTGTGCCATGTAACGCTATCTGATCTACGCAGTGCTTTCTCAGATGCTGAGATTCTGCAGCCTGGTGATCTGCTTTGGCAGTGAAGCAGTAATCTTTTGAGCTGGGCTTGTTGGTGCCAGCAGTATCAGTGTGGCCTTTCATACTGCAAAGCTTGAACACGGAGCCAAGAAATGCTTCTGTCAGAAATGCATGCGGTAGGTTACCTTTCTGTAACCTCGCTCAGGTTTGACCAGAAGGCCTAGAACTAAGATAAGGCTGAAAAGGTACATATGGTACAGTTGGACTTGATGATCCTGGAGGTCTTTTCCAACCGAAATGATGCTATGATTCTGTATGCTTGCATGGTATGAGCTAGCACTGCTGCACTGTGTTAAACTCTACAGGTTGATCAGCCTGCCAGCTACAATGCTTTCATTTCCCAGGTCCCCTAAATTTGTTCCCTCTCGTGAGCCAGCCTTCCCACCACTCCCCAGCCGCCTGAACATCTTTCTGCTTTCTACCACCTAAAAGATTGCTTTGTGGTCGTGATGGTCCTTGATGTTGTGTGTGGTCTGTCGTGCATCCTGTACCCAGCTGCTATCCTGCTACTTTAGTACATGATTATAGGCTGGAGTAGAAAAAAAGAATAGAAAATGGGGAAGGATGCCAGAGGAAGCAAGTACTTAAGTTGTACCATTCTTGTTTTTTTAACAGTTGAAAGATAAAAATAGTTTAGTAAGGAAGCAAAGTGCAAAGGTTAAAGTAGAAAAATAGTGTTAACAATCAAATCCCAAACACAATGATCAGTGCAAGGTCTAGAAGGAACAAAGGCTCTTAAATGTTTCTGCAACATGTTCTCCCCTCCCTTCCCCGGGCTAGTGCTTCCAGCAGCCCCGCTGCTGTAACAGTGCGGTGGTGTTCAGGATGTCATGTCTCCTGATAACCAGTGGTCTACAAGGCAAAATGCAGCCTGTGGTGATAGCTGCAGGTGAGACGGTGATTGATAGGACAGTACACGTGGAGCATTTACTGTTACAAAGCCATCCAAAATGTTTTATTAGTCACAGTCCAACGTATTCAGTGTTGTCAATGTGAAGTACTATATCTACTAGCAAAAAAGTAGGCTACATCCACAGGATGTGTTGTATAAAGACCTAAAAGTAGTTTGAGGTAACAGATGGCAACTCTCAGTCTGTTATATAAAATTATTTGTAAACGTCAGGAAAAAACAATAAAAATAGATTTAATTCAGTCAAAAATTCCTACTGGTTTAAAGAACATACTGAGATTATATCTGATGGATAACAGGAGTGTGTGACAGGAAAACAGTGAAGTGGACCTGCTTGTATTTGAAAGGTAAGCCTAAATGCTGGAACAGGGGGGCTTCCCCTTCTTACCCCCTTTGGAATTCATTGTTTGAGTAAAGTGACGTGCAGCTTTACCTGCAAGTCAGCACCAAGGTGGTCACCAGACTTCACTCATGATGCCCTGAAATCACAAAGCCTTCAGATTAAGTCAAGGCAGCAAGGACTGAGGTATCTTACACCTTTACTCAATTAAATGTAGTCTCAACCATCACCTGAAATACGTGTACTTGGCTACTTCTCATTGCCCCTTTGTGCCTCAGTTTCTTCATCTTTCTTTTCTAGTCATGATTTTTGCTTTCATGCAAATGAAGTCCTGTTAAATTAGTCAAAAGCTTGTCTTCTACAACCTTGAGGCCAGGTAGAAAATGTCTCTGATGTGATACTAGTTTGGCCAGAGCTTGACATCACTGAAAGATGACACTTGGCTGTAGTGGCTGGTTTGGAAGAATTTGCAATACCAAATGGCATTATCTTATTTGTTTAACACTTATCTATTTTTTTTCTCCCTTTCTCTCATGTTTTGTTTGTGCCTTGCTTTCAGCTTCATGGCACATATCTCTAGGCTATTTCAATTTGTTTTCCTATCTCTAGAGACACTGTCAACGGCGTCTTGGTTTGTCAGGACTGTCAAAACAGAAGTGTTTTTTCCATTCAGCGTTCTGTATACCTAAAGTAACAGGAAAGGGAAACAAATGAAGCTTTAGGTTATCCTTCAAGTGATTTAACTGGGTAGGATTTGTTACTGCCTCCTCCACAGTCTTCATAAAGGGCTCATACTTCTCTAGTATGGTTGTTTGTGATAAAGTAAGAGAGTATAAGACTGTTGGTCTCATAATGCTGACATTTAATATTGTTCAAGATGGTATCATATTGACTGCTTTGTACCCATTTTGGCAGGATGCATGGACCAAGATAGTCAACGCAGGAGCTATGTATCATAAAGCAAAGACTTGAAAGAAAGAAAGAAAGAAAGAAAGAAAGAAAGAAAGAAAGAAAGAAAGAAAGAAAGAAAGAAAGAAAGAAAGAAAGAAAGAAAGAAAGAAAGAAAGAAAGAAAGAAAGAAAGAAAGAAAGAAAGAAAGAAAGAAAGAAAGAAAGAAAGAAAGAAAGAAAGAAAGAAAGAAAGAAAGAAAGAAAGAAAGAAAGAAAGAAAGAAAACACAACAACAACAACAACAACAACAAAACAACAATCTGGTGTCATTGTAGTCCGCTCGCTGTGAACTTCTGCTACTGTGGTTCAGTACGTGGAAAGATTGTTTTTGTTCAGCATAGCATCTTCCCATCATACAGTATTTGATTATTGCATATTGACGGACTGATCTTCTTAATTCAGAAAGGAAATGGAGCTATTGGAGCGAATTCAAAGACTGAAGTGTTTCAGGAGGAGGGGAGTGTCTCAAGATGCAAGCCATACACACATTCAGCAGATCAAAGGAAAGGACAGAAGGTAGCACTACACTTAAATATGGCAAAGCAAACTGATCGTGGGGGGCTTTTAATCATACATGGAGGCATGAAGATCCAGTTGCCATTAATTTCTGTTGTTTGAGTGTTAGGAGTAATAAAATATTTGAACAATTGACTGGGGGAAGTGGTAGAGTAGAAATATTCTATGGGTCTTACATATCTCTTCTAACCACATGCTATGATCCAGAATATGAAAAAAATGATACGTCTGTTGTACAGAGTAGGTGATAACAGGCACTGGTTGGCCAAAGGGAATGACAGGCTACTGGTAGGCTGTACCAGGGAATAGCTGTCTTCAGCATAGGGCTCTGAGCCTTCTCAGTGGCTTCTTCCTTCATGCAGTGGGGGCTGGACATCTCTTTCTTAGGACTTCGTAGTCCTGCCATCCTTACTGTACTTCAGTTCCTCAGCTCTGTTGAGTCCAAAAGGTCAGTGGCCATGGTAATAATGGTCTTTCTCTTTCCGTAGTGCAAAAATTTCCAGAATGCCTATGGCTATTAGTTGAAAATTTGAAGTCAGCATTTTCCTTTAACTCCTTTCTTTCCGTCATCAAAAAAAGTTAACAGTAGACTGCGGTGGTATTGTAAGCCACGGTTTTCTCTGTGAAAGAGAGTTACTGCATGCCTCTCAATAGTGTTTCCTTGGCTTCATATTCTATTGATATCATTGTTCCTAGAAACCATGCTAAGCTCATGTTCCTGATTCTGGTTCCCACATGTCCACCTCTCGCATAGGGACACTTTTTTCTTCCTGTTGGAATGAGTTACTTCTTTTTGGAACTTTAATGAATCTTCTTCAGTGTCATTCTTCTGGTTGTGTAGCTCTTCTGATGGTCACCTCAACATATCTGACAGGGCCAACGTGCTCTGAGCTGGCCAACCTCCAAACCCACTTTTGGAGACTTCCTTCCCTGCATCTGGGTGGCCTTCTGCCCTCCACCAGCAACAGCACCCAGGCATAGCTTCATCTGCAGGAGCACAGGATCCTTTGGTCTCCTCTTCTAGATATAACAGTGTCCACCTGTTGTAACCTGCACAGGGATGGACAATCTCTTCCTTCCCTGAGTGGTTACTGAACTCATTTTCCTCTGCCTGTAACCAAAAGCCGGTTTTTGCACAAGGAGGGTGGTAGTGAGTGAAACACGCTCAGCCCGCTACCCACTGTAAGCGTACTGAAACACTTGGACAGCCACTGCTGTAGTGGCCTGGGAAGGACAGTGGAGCAGTGGCAGCTCTCAAAGGCAGCTCTCATGAGCACTTTTATTCCAATGACAGTATATCTCTTTTTTGTGCCTCTGCCTTCATATCTTGGACTGTGGACAGGCTCTGGAGAAGGTATGCTGTGATTTTTAGAAGAAAATGACTGCTCAGAACAACACTGCAAGGCACAGTATTTGCACCACTACTTGGATGTCGGTGTTCTTTGCTTGTTTTTAGTCAGTGGCAAATAGCTAGTGTAAATACCTGTTGGTGTTATAATTTAAAAACAATTATTTCTCATAAATTGGGAGTTTGAATGTTGGAATAAAGTCTCACACTAGGACGGATTTGGCAAATAGATTACGGTCTTTTTTTTTGTTATGGCATGGCTGTGCACAACACTAAGGCAGCTTCCTTTGCTATCATCGCTGGCTTGGGTTGTGGATAATGCATTGCTTCTGTTTGGGTGCTTATTCAAGCGCTGCTACTGCAAAGGTTTTTGTTTTAAACTTTTTAACTTAGGTTTAAAAAAAAAAAAGTTCTCTGCATCAGGAGAGTCCATCCTGTCAAACACTTGGTTTTGTTCTCTTCTTAATTCTAGCAGGTTTTGTTTTCCAAATTACTGAAAGCATTAGAATCACTCTTTGTTTAGCACTGTATATTCCGTGTAAGCCTTTTTCTGCTATAGAAGGCAACTGTGCAATTGCTGAACCCACTGCTGGGTATGGTCAGTATCCCTTTGAAGGAATGCAGATCATATGCTCCATTTACGGAAGCATCTGAGCTGCTGCTACAGCAAGAAACTATCGCTTAATGTGGGCCATCAGATCAGTCTACACTATGGTCTGCTCACAAAAAAAATAAAAACAGCAGAAAAAGGACGTGATAAAGGCTTATTTCCCTAGATTCCTCATTCTTTTCTGCCAGGTGATATATTTATTTTTAAGTATCTCTGTTTGTGCCAACAGATTTTTTTTTTTCTTAAGCAAGTGCTGAGAAATTGCTCTTCCTCTCCAAGGACGCTCCTCTGTGACCTACTGTAGCATAACCAGCTAAACTTAATCTCTGCTTTGTTCAACACTTGAAAGGATCCATTCACAGAATTGTTCAGGGAGCCTGGACTGAGATTTTTCAGCTGCCCCAAGTGAAATTGGGGAATCAGTAAGAGAACAAGTACTTGAACAAGGTGGTACACAGATGAGTCTGGTGGTTTGGAAGAAGCAGCCTGAAGCTATAGCAAAAATGACTAACCTTTGCTATTGAAACTAAGTATTCTTCTGAGGAGTCTGCAGCCAGCTGCCACATCATTGTCACCTAAACCGCAAATTGGTGCAGTGGCTGTATTGTTAGGCTGTATGTTACAACGTATTGAATCTGATCAAGAACATGGTTTCCTGTTTGTAGTTCAGGGGCATTGCTGTGTAATGCAAGTCAGCTGTGTTTCTGTTTCTGCAGTAAGTGCCTGTAGAGCTCTACATGTCTTAAAATCTATAGAAAAAAATATAGAGGAATGAAGAAACTCTGTCTCACTGTCATACCTGAGATTATTAGAGATGCCTGTGGATAGTAACTACAAAAACAGAAGGAGGAACTGATTGAAAAGCAACACATGTAATTATATTTTTTGCCTGTCTCACCTCCCTTTTCTTATCTGTACCCAAATCTAGCAGGCTGCAGGATGAGTTGCAAATCATTGCATTTAAGATGATACTTGCAAATGATGGAAGGAAATGTGAGTTCTTATGCTGTTTGACTTGACAGCAAATGAATGCTGCTCCATGTAAGAACCTGCTAATTCATATCAAGAAGTATATAAATAAGCAAGTCTTTAATAGTAGCACAAATGAAGGAAGAAAAAATATTTTTCAGCAATAATTCCACTTTTCTTTTTTTTTGAGGAAAAAAAAAAAGAATTTATTCAAATATTCTTTTTATTTACAAAGTAAGTTACATTCTCCACGTGATTATGCAGTTTGGAAAACAGATCTGTACATACATGTGGAAAATACTTTTCTTATAATGAATGCATCTATTCAAGCACTTTTTCACAGCATCGCTGATGGATCTTATTTTACTTTTTTTATTGATTTTGACCATTCCCATGAGATGATTTTCATTAGTCTTTTTTTTTTTTTTTTAAAAAAATACTGTATTTGAGAGAATCCTAGGTTCTGAAATCAGAGTAGTTTCAAACATAAACTAATGAGGTCATTTTCTTGCATAAAATACATGTTTTTTTATTTTTGTTGGAACGGTATTACCTTACTATGTAATGGATGTAAAATGTATCTCCTGAGTCAGTGTTCCTATAACATAACCCATTCTCCCTTTTCTGAATTTGGTTACTTCTTCCTAATAGGACTACATTGCATCTCTGGTGATGTTTCTGCTTATTTCAGGTGACTTCTTAATTTATCAGCATGATTCTGTATTTATAGTGACTAGACTTTTGCTCTTTTCCATTTCAAACTATTTCAGTAAGAATCTATTTTTTCTATGCCACCTCACAGTTAATAAATACATTGAGAAGTCTGTTTTAGGAATGGATTCTAGTAGAATACATTTCTAGAACTCCTTTAAGTTAATACTAACACTAGTGCATTTCTTCTTTCCACAAAGTTTGTTTCCTTATCAGACAAAGCAAGTTTAGTTAGTTGCACTTGATTTCTGATGATGAAGTTGACTACTACTTAATTATTATCTTACCGGTGCTTGAAATTCTCACTGTAAGTTTAGTGTTTCATAAGAAATACAGAACTGTAAGCCCTTATACACACATGCTGTTATGTTTTAAAATAATTTATGTACTTGACATTTCCCAGATTTCACCTCACTTCACCTAACTGTGATTATGTAGAAAGAATGGTGGATGATTCCAGTTAAATATTGCTACTTCCTTCACTTCCCTACAAGCACACATCTCTAAGAGAAACTCTAGCTACAGCTTGTGACAACGATGTAAGTTTTGATGTATCCTCAAAGACAACAACAAGATGGGAGTGAAGGAGGAAACTATTAGATGGCTGAATTTTTGTATATTTTGAAGTTATTATGTTTTTGTATTTACCAAAACAGAACAACTGCAAAAAGGCAAGCAGCTAGTGGAAGTGATCTTTTGAATCACTGGTGCACAATTCAAATTGATGAGACTGGTGAGTGAAGGAAAAATAAAGTTGGGGAACAACTTCACTTTGCCTTAGTGAAGGATGAGAAAAAGAGAAAAAAATGAAATAGAGTAATAGACAAGAAGAGGAGTGAAAGCAGCTTCAGCACAGAAGAGGATGAAATTGTGATAGTAGCTGGCACCCAATGAGTAGTGAACATGATGAATGGACAGTGAAAGACAACAGATGATAGAATGGTCTGAAGACAGAAGAAAGAAAAGATGGGGAATCTAAGGAAGGTGCAGTTAGTATTAGAAAGAGGACATGTGTAACTGGAACTTCCTTCTAAAGAAAAATGGGTAGGCTGTAATGAGAACAGGTCCAGAAGCTAAGATAAAAATTACAGATTTGTATTTGAAAACAATAATGTTCCAGTGAACAGAAATATACAGATTTCCTAGAAACTTCGGTGGAAATTCTCCGTTGCCTGAAGAAGGAAGGGCAAAGTTGTGTTGATCAACAGATGACTCAAGAGTTGGTGCTTAGAAAAATGTTGATGGGTCACTGAGAACACTACAGAGAGAGTGTCTTTCTCAAAGCATATGCTCAGACATATTATGCGATTCAAGTAAGGCCCATGAAGAAGACAATTAAGTTGAGATAGAGCTATATTTACATATCATCCATGCCTATATAAACAGAAAGGGGAAGACATAGGTTGTGAAGGTTCATCAGAGAATATGGCATAAAGACAGGCATGTTAGAGCAGCAGTGATTCTAGACAGACTTCTGGGATCAGGGGAAAAGTGAGAGACTAGTTATAAGAAAACATTTTGTAAACTCCTGAGAAGGATTATTCAAGACAGTTGCAAAAGAACAGCAAGGGATAAAAGAGCCCCTTCCTATTTTATGTTCCTAAATGTTTATCTAGATGTTCTCCAACTGTTTCTCTTGATCCTGACTTACAACTTGTTTTGGTTAACCATTGTTTTGTCATGTCATGCTACTGTTATGTGCTTTTTATTGCAGCCAAGTAGTTCTTAAGCATTTCAGCCTTTCCCATGTCTCTTGAAACAGGAAGGTAAAACAAATACATAGTCACATGCTTGCCTGTTCTTTTTGTTTCTCAGAAGCTTGTTCTCCTTTATAATTTTACTTGCCTTTTTTTTTTTTTTCCTTCCAACCTATTACTTGGCTATGACTGGACACTTTAAACCTGACTTTCTGAAAAAACAAGATGTATGTGATTGTGCATCTGCCACCCCTTTGTTAGGAACTTTGAATTCACTGGCTTATTTCATCCACATTTGACCAACAGGAAGAGAAGTGAAAAATACTAAGTTTCTGAAAAAGTACAACTTCATGTAGGCATCTGCTATTGGAAAGATAAGATCACTCTTATCAGATACCTTAAAACCCACATGAGAACACATTCCATAGGCACAAATCCAGAAGAAAGCAGGCTTTACTGGTTCAGATGCTCAAACCCTTCAAAATTCCTAGGCCCTGTGATGCGGTTGCACCAGGTGGTGGCACGTAAGAATTTTAGCCTAGGAGAACTGGTGTTCTCAAGGCATGTCTGAGAGACCTCACCTGACAGCTGGGTGACTGACTTTAAGTATTACTGTAATGCTAGCCTAGATGTGGTGCAATGGTGGGACATTCAATGAAAACTGCTAGCATAAATAAAGCTATTTCAGTCTCTGTTGTGCTCCAGATTCTGAGGTTGTTTTCATTTTTCAGTTTAAGAGATGTTGCTGTTATATCAATACACTTTTTCATATTCTATTTCCTGGCAAATCTTGGTCTCATTGTTCTGTAGTTTCCAAGTTTAATTAGTCTGATGGGGCAGAAAACATGATGAACGCAGAAAAAAATAGTCTAAGAAAAACACGTGAAACTTGAGAGCTTTGCTAAACTAATAGGATACATACATGGATCATTCTCGGTCCTGTTTTTAAGTACTGCTGCTCATCCTCATCTAAGGGAGTATCTACAGAAAGCATGCTAAAAATTAGCATAGGCTTTCTCAGCAGTAGTCAATGATGAATATATATCCAAACAGTCTCTGTTCAAAGAGAAAAATTCAGCTGTTAGTAGGAAAGAGATCATGGTGAGAACACAAATATTTTATACTGTTTCTTTCATAAAATGCAGTTTTTAAGAGCATAGGGTAATTATATTGAAGTTATATCTTTGGGAATTTTATTGTTATGAATAATTTCTTGAAAATTTGTACCTTCATTTGCCTAGTAATGCTGATGGCCTAATGCTAGCCACAAGAACTGATTTTGAATGCATTGATGGTAGAAATAATAACATTAGAGATGAAGCATGTTTCCATTAAACACTGAAATTTCAGTTAAATAGCTTTGACTATATATACAACTGATGATAACCAGCAATTAGTTCCTTTCCTATAGGGAAGAGGCTGAAAGCAGGAAATGCAGTATTCAGCATTTTTCTGTCACACGAATTCATTCCATATAAACAATCTATTTCCTTCTTCTGATCTAAAAAGCTGCTTTTGTGCATAATCACATAGTGTGCAGCACGTTTATACTTATAGGTAATAGCTGTTATCCAGAAGATGGCTCTTTGCATGTGAAGTGCCCTCAGTGCCTTCATCCTAAAGATAAACAAGATTGATCATACATCTTAGATTTTGCAACCCTACTTTGTTTGCTACTCCTCCACCAGTTGTGTACTGTTTTCCATCTGTTGCAACATCATGCATCTGCACTCAAGCGCCTGATCACTTACAAACACTCTCTAACAGAACCCCAGTGACCCCCTCCTCTCATATCTATTAATGGCATCACTTGAAGTTGAACAAAATTGTCATCGACTTTGTGACGTGTCCTTGTGAAAGCGAAATGGAGGTTCACAAATTTCCTACCTTATTGCAGTCCTGCATCTTCCAGACTCCACTTAGAGGATTTCTCTTACTTCTTTATTTATAAACAATATGCTCTACACCTGGCTAATAACTAATACCTTGTTTTGTTTGTTTGCTTGTTCGTTTCTGAGGACTAAGTCAGGCTGGATATGTTATTGGAAGTAAGTCTTTCTCCAGGAAATATCAAGTAACATTAAATCTGCAAACAGTTCCACATCTTAATACAGTTTTATAAGCTTCATGCTAGTGATTTTCCTGATGTTGAAAGGTTGCCCAGCTGAATGAGCACAGCATTCCCATCAGCTGCCTGAGTTTGCTCTAGAGCTGAGCCTGCAGAGCAGTGCCGTGTTCTTCCATTTAGCTCCAAGCCCATCATCTCCTTAGCTGCGGAGCTGGCACAGCACTATGCAGGAAAGCCTCTGGTCAATGTTTGTAGGCCCCATGAGGTCCCAGAGATCAGGCAGGTGCTTTTGTGTATCCCTGCTGAGCAACATGAGTGTTTAGCACATCTCTATGGGATGGAGCAGAAGGGCACCCTGGCAGGCTTTCTGTCTCGTTGTCACCCCTACTCACCCACTGTCCTGCATCTCCAGCTCAAGGAGCTGCTGCTATTTCTCTCACTCAGCCTCCCTGTCTGCCAAGGCAGCAGGCTTGTAGCAACCCCACAGCCGCAGCCCCTGGGCAATCAGGATGTGTGTAGGGCCGCAGAGTTGTGGCTGGGCCCTCTGAAGCCTGTGGGGTGCAGCCTGTGGTGGTGCCATGGTGGCCAGGCCCTGCCAGGCCTGACCATCAGCCTCCCTGCTCCTGCCCTGTGGATGTGGCCAGTCACCAGCTGGGGTGAAACTGTGTTCCTGTGGCCCTGAGGTGTCTTAAAGCATCACCAGGGCTGTTCAGTCACATGCAGCACCTCATCCATTCTCCTCAACATAAATAAAGGCTGATTCAGAAGCTGCACAGCCGTGAATGAAACACAGCTGTGTGCTGGGTCCCCTCTCTTAGCTTGTCCCAGAAATGGGCTGGCCCCACCCATAAAAGTGCTGACTCGCCTTTACAAAACGATTTCTGGTGATTTGGGAACACTGTAGTAGGAAATACACAGAAGCTAGGATCCTTTTTTTTTTTTTTTTTTTTTCGTCTTCACTGGTAATGCCCAGGCTGAATCATCACACAACTTCATGCTTATTAAAAAAATATGCTTTTGTATCATCATACATCTAGCCTGCAATATCAGGCAAATTTGTTTCTAGTTTGCATAGTTTTGCACAGTTCCTTTCCTGCTGGTGCCATTCTTGCCCATAGTGCTTGCTCTTCTGCTGCACTGGTGTTTGCTGAAGCCCCGGAGCTCACTAAGAGGCTGCACCACCTCTGCATGGGCTTCAGCTGTGTGAGCTGGCTTCTGGACATGTCCTCCACTCGTGCACTAGTAAATAAGCCACAACACAAACTCAGCTTCTCATGGGCACCAAATTCGCTGCTATTACCCTATCCACATCAGTAAATGTGATATTTAGCTGACAGTTCTTACTCTCTCACACACATTTTATGAATTTCTGTGGACATTGCACTTCACTAATAAGATGCATAGCATTTTGTCTAGATTGTGGAGAAGCATTCGTTAAGCTGTTCTATTTACTGTTCACTCCTCGGGTAGAACTATGCTGTTCTTGTTCACACAACATAATCTATACATCCGGGGAGTCCAGCAATCCCCCGGTGTCCTTTCTTAAGCTATCGACATATTTAAGAAATTACTAACGTCATTTTTTGTTGTGTTTTGTATGCAAATATCTCAGTGTGACTTTAATCACAGTCTTGGCCAAGCAGAGATTTCCTTCTAGCATTTTTCAAGGGAATCCCGTTTCTGTGTTTCTGGTCTTTGTTGGGGCTGGGTGTGGAAACAGCAAGGCAGGCACACTGTAAGGGAGAGCCAGAGGGTGTGCTCCAGATCTAGGAAGCTGCACAGCATCAAAGGAAGGGGACGTCTTTCACTGGTTTAATGGTAAACACACTGGCAGGTCAGAATATTTGCCTGCAGAGAGGTCTTGCAGCAAAGACACTTTTTTTTTTTTTTTTTTTTTTTTTTTTTTTTTTTTTTTTTTCCCCTCATTCAAGTGGCTCTTAGAAGTTCAAAGAAAAAGAATAAGAGGATGTACAAAAGATCACCTCATTGGACTTGTCAATTATTAGATATTTTTCAAAGTTTCGATCATCTCAAATGCTCACTCGGGTTCTTGGTAATGCAGGAGTACTTTTGCAGACATAGGAACTGAACAATTTCATTTTGTTTCTTTGTTGTTTATTTTCTTCCTTGAATAAATACATTAGAAGCCAGCTGTGATCGGGTATGTCCTGAACTGCTACTGCTTCAGCAGCAAGTTACATAGGTTAGACTCTGAGATGCCAGTTAAACCATCTTTGTGACTTTTAAACAAGACAACTCTGAGATGAACAGCATTCCAGTATGTCACATAGAATATATCCCTTAAAGAGAATTTATTTTTTTCTGTGCTGATAAGTGAAGATTAGGTGTACTTTTAAATGAACCTGTAAGACTCGTTTACATCTCCATACACAATAGTGTTGTTAGAATGAAAGCAGTGCTAAATTAAGGGATTAAAAATAAATAAACAAATCCATATGCATTTGCTGAAAAGCAGTCAATAAGAAGTGTTCTTGATGTCTGTGCTGCTGTATATGCTTACCTGTAATTTTCCAGAATTTGATCAGAAGCTTTCCAGACTGTGCTTTAATTGGGAAGAAGTACCCATCATTGTTCTGGGAGGTACAGAGATTTGCTGGTAAGCAGGTCAGTGCTCTGAAGATGCAAGCTTGTTTTACTTATTTAGGAGAACCATTTCATGGGTAAAAACATTGTGTAAAAGCATTTTATGTGATACATTAAGTGTATTTTCCCCATTAATTTGAATTCAAACAAAATAATATTGCACATAATTTATCAGACTCTCCTAATGTCTCTGTAGTTTGCCATAGGGAACGACACAACTGTGTGATGATGGCAGGAAGTGCAAGCTGGTGTAGGTCTTTTTGTATTCTGCAGGTCCATAATGGAGGCTTCAGCTTTGTTTTTATTTTCATGGGTTTTGGGTGTTGTTTTAATAGTTACCATTGGCCTCCCAAACCTTTTAGTGAAATAGGTAATTGTGTATGCATTTTTTTGTCATTTTCTTGACAATGTGTATAAGATTTGTGTGGGGGAATAGCTTTTCTACATAGCTAATAATTTATTATATTGTCTTATGCTGTCTTTTCAGTTTTTTAAATAACTGTTATTATTTCACACTGGAGGGCATAAATATCATTTTCTGCCTTTTTTCCCCCATTGTTTGGAGAGTAACTGGACTACCTCAGTTTCAGGTCAGATAGCATTTCATCAGAACAGTGAAATGACTGTAAGCATTCATCCCCAGTGGATGAAATTCTAACCTGCAGCATTTCAGTCTCCCACCTTGAAGAGTGGCAAGACAATTACTGAGATCCTTGTAGATGGGCTTTAAAGCTGGGCATAATCCAGCAGTGAACGAAATGCATAACCCTCCAAATCAGTGACATTTAACCCAACTGCTCGTCAGGCCAGGTGGAAAGACAAAATTGGCACTCAACTGTTTCCAGCTCACTTTCCTGGTTAGTGCTGCAAACACAGGAAATAATTCCGGTGAGCTGATTTTTGTACACATGCACATGCATGTGCCAACACACTTTATTCTGTATTCAAATTTTCTGTTGTAGATAAACTTGTAAAGCATCTGTATTTCATTTCATGCTCACCTTAAAAGCAGTTGTTCTGCCTGTGGAGAGAGCATTCACCTTTCCCTTTGCCTTTCATCCTTTCTGGTCTTATTTGTGCAGTGAAATTGCATCACTCAGTTGTGACATTTCCGTGGTGGAAGCTACACTCATTTTAACCAAACGAATATCCTTCTGAAACAAAACCTGGGTATATGTACATGTCAACAGATATGCTCTATAACTTCTGTAAAGAGAACTGAATGATAAAAATAGCAAAATATGTGAAGCATTTAGGTAGTTCTGAAATCTACCCTTAAAAAAAGCAAGAGCCAGCAATCCCTTGTACCAACTTCTTTTATCTCTTCCAAAGCTATTTCTCATTTACTGTAATGCTTAACAATCCTATTTCACAGTGTGCTTTAGATTCCCAACAACAGAAAAAAAAATTACTTAAGAAAAAACAACTTGCAAATCCAAGACCAGGCATCTATTTGTGTGCAGTTCTAAATGAAGCTTCACTATTTCTTAACTAATGAGGATCTTCTCCATGTGGAATAAATTCTTAGTACTTAGCAGCATTAGTAATGCTTCAAGAAAAAAAAAAAAAAAAAGTATTTAAAATGGTTCAGTTGCCAACTGTCTTCTTTGACTGTCTCGGTAAGACGTTGAAACAGACCTTCTGCTCTAAATTAATAAGGCCAATCTCAACCACACAAAGCCCAGAATGACCGATCATTCTTCTGGTGTCCTCGCTATCTTTACTGAGGTCAGATAAATCACTTTCAAGCTGTTAAATCAATGATCATAAATTAGGGCTCTGTTTTTACAGCGCCTTGTGGGAAATTCTCATGGTTAAATTAATCTAACAGCTGCAGTGAAGAGCACCTCCCACAAGATCATGTCAAAAGTTCTCTCTCCCCCCCCCGCTTTTTTTTTTAAAGGGGAAAAATGCCTGAATTATTTGTTTTTACCTAGCGCACAAAATGGAATCCCTCGGTCTGTCCCTGCTAATTCATGTTTCAATTGTACCCAGCTGTTTAAATTGCACTGCGCAGAGATTGCCTTGATCCCCAGGTGCTGGTACTCCATCTGTGCTGCTCCGAGAGACTATTTACAGCAGAGGTTAGGCCAGCGATTGCTGGGATGGAAAACTCATTTCTCAGCCTGGCTTTTATTTACACTCTTATTAAAGATCCTTTCACTCATGTTGGAATGGCAGCTAGTGGCTGCACTGAGCATTTGGCGTTGAGCCAAGCAGCGAAATTACCATGTCGATGAAAGATAGCCCGCTTCCATTTTAACCTTTCGCTGTTCTCCCCTTTCCATCTATATTTGCATGAAGAAGGATGATTATTGAAAGAGATAGGGGGACAAAGGGATGAGAGAATCCTTGTCAGCTGAGCTTTTCAAGGGATAAGCCAATGGTTTGTGACCAATTTGGAAAAATCTTTACTGCCTTATTAATTTCCTACTCCTTTCCCTTAATTGCTATTAGAGTTTATTTTCACATGAAGCAACAGAGCTGCTCATGCTCTGCTTCCTTCCTTCCCCCACTGCTTCCCTGTGCCTTATGAGCACAACCCTGGGATATGTCTGCAATGTTGAGGTTTCTCCTTCATCCCCAATGCAGGTCACACAGAGCCACGGCAACACCCTCAAAATGCTTTTCCTATGAATATGCCTCTTGGAAATGAATCGCCTTCCTGGGAGCAAGGGGCTCGCTGCTCACAGCATGTCACATCGCCGGGGAGGGCAGGGGAGGGTGCCTGCACAGTTGGTGGGGGAGGCTGGCGCGTTACAGACCTGGCTGCACTTAAACAAATGAAAATAACTGTTTGTCCAGAAAACTCAGCACATCTGTTCTGGGGAGCAACACGGGATTGGCAAAAAGCACCAGAATGCACCTCAGCTGTTGTGAGACAACAACCCACCTTCCTGAGCGCCAGCTACAGCGTGGCACAATGAGGACAAGAGCCCCAAACCCATAAGCCACGCTACCAGATTCCATTCATGAGACAGACACACCGTGCACTTCAGTGTAGCCATGCTGCAGGTTCTTGACTGCTACCAAAGCAGTGCTTTTCTTTCTCTTTACCTTCCTGGACAGCAGGAGAGGAGTCTATTTTCCATTTTCCTGGGTAGAAGAGCTGAGCAATAGCTGTACCATGAGGTTTACAAGGCTTGGTGTTCTTGCTCTTGATCCTATTTTGGATAGTGAGCAAATATTAGCTTTCACATATTAAAGAAAAAAAAAAAAGCAATATTTTCTGAAGGATTTAACCTTCTACCTAGATGCTTGTTAGATGCTACTATATCCTCGATGCTACTGCTGTTTAGGCACTCAGCCACTCTTTAAACTCACAGGTCGCCAAGATTTTTCATCATTCTTCATCTCCACCCATGCCCAGGAGGCTCAAATGCCTGCTGCTGGCTGGGTGCCAGCAGCTCCGGTGGGACCAAGCACCTAAAAGATGGAGGGTTTGTTAACAAAAGCACAGATGTGGACATGGCTGTATTCTGGGTAACAGACAGCTAAAAAGGGGGTGTTTGCAGACCACCGCTTTCTTTCAGCCCCCTGGAAGATGCACAGAGCACAGTTTCCAATATCTCCAAAGTTCCTTGCCATGTTTGTTTCATACATACATGCAGAAAATTGAATTCATAATTCTATATAAAATATGTTATATATAATACATACAAATATAAATTATTATATAATTCATATATAACTATAACATTATATATAAGTGCTTATTTACCAGCTCTCAGTCTGTGCCATTCAGCTAACTTCAGCACTTCGGGTTAGTTGGGTTTTGTCCTTTGCAATTCCCAACTGACTGAGTGCCTGAGCACCACTCTGCTTTCCCAGGGAAGCCATCAGCAGAGAAATTTTGCAGAAGAGGTAGCAGAGGAGCATTACTTGGACATTTTACATAACTGTAATCTTTTTCTTATTTTTTATTTTTTATTTTGGAGCTAAACAGCCTTTCCCTAAAACACCATTCTCAGAAAAATGTAACCACAGAAAGATTTACTGTCTGAGCATTGTGTTTAATATTTTTCCCATTCATAAAATACTTGTCTGTCTGGACATGAGACTCAGTATGAAGGGTGTGTTTTGCTTCTTGTCTGGCTCATTTGAACTGCTTATATGCTAGTGCTCATGCAGAGAAGGGGGAAGAATGATGTCCCATCTCATAACATATTATAAAGTCTCAGATGGAAAATACAATTGCATGACTGCTGGTAGACAACAAGTACTAAGGAGTGTGTGTGCATGCATTTAAAGACCACCAAACTATTTATTTATTTGTTCATTTACTTATTTATTTAACTGGGAGCAACATGAACTTATTCCTCAGCAAATGCAGCCTAAGAAGTTTGTTGCTTGTTGTTGGAGTACCTTGTTCTCAGCGAGCTGAGGTACAGTTGACATTTGGTGACCAGCTTGGGAGAGCTGGAGGATGATGAGAAATGAGACGTTTGGTGCAATTAGCTGTGGTACCAACCCAGGAACAAAAGTGAACAGGCACAACTCGGGGACAAGAGCAGCTTTCAGAGTCAAGGTCTAACTTGCTTGAGGATTTAGCAGTTCTCCCATTTTTGTACATTCTTTGGCAATTTCCTACTTAAATAATTGGATCGTCTGCTTCTAGATCTTGGAGAAATGCAACTGGATTTGGCATCCTCTTGCCTACCCCCATCCCATCCCAGTACGTGCTGGGATATTGCCCTGTACAGCTGCCACAGCCCACAGCCGCTGAGGCTCTCCAGCTGCAACGGGGTTTGAGATTAAAAACTGAACTAACCCACATTTCGGAGCTCTGGATGGGCAGACACAGACCAAATTTTGGAAAAGAGCAAAATGACCGCAGGTGTGCCAGTTGCTTTTACATCCCTGTCTTTTATTGAGTATTATACTGTACAGCGAAACTGAGGAACAGTTTGTGCTACCTGATGAAGGGGCTGCCTTGTTATTTGTCTCTAACAGCTACTTTCATGGGAAAACAGTGTGTTTTCTTGTAATTCTACTTCAATATCTTGCAATATCTCTGTGCTTCTCTTACCTTCCTAAAGAAAAAAAAAAAAATCAGCAAAATTCCATTGTTTTCTGCTTAGTCCCTGAAAAATTGTAGCACTAACTACAGAAATAGGTGACAATTGTCAAATCAGAAGCCAAAAGCTTCATCTGAGCTTGTGTGGCTCTTCCAGCCAGCTCTTCAGTTACTGAGAAGCAGTTTCCCTAGAGAACAGTTGGGCTGAAGAACTGGGGCAGCAAGGTTCAAAACGTAGACCCCTCCAAAATCTACTTAAAACCATAAAAGTTTTCCTTTTAAAATAGGAGAATTCACATATTACATGCATGTATGGTTTCATTTTGAGGTAATGAGCCACATTAAGTAAAATATAAAAAAGAAATTGTTTCCCTTTCTGCTGGCTTCCCTTCGGCTAGCAGTGGTTTCTGCGTTGCTGGTGAGCATCAGCTGCCACGGGAGACGAGAGGTGGAGGGAGGTGAAGAGCCAAAGGCTCAGTGGTTCTTCCAAAACAACAGCTACCTGCTCCACAATGTTTTAAGTTAAAGAGGAGCATGGTAAGGAGAAGGAAGGAAAAATACCACCAATAGGAAAATTGAACCAGATGGATGCTATGCTGTTGTAGAGCCTGTAGGGAATTGCCTTGACTTACCACAGACAAGAAAAAAAATAATAAAATAAAATAAAAAACCACACACACACAAAAAACACACACACACACAGTGATAAATCCAGGGTTGAGTGTTGGGTTTAGGGGTGATACCACATCATTATGGACAGTTGTAGAGCTGCCTTTACAGAACACCATGAAGGATTGCCTTCTATTGCTTAAGGGAATGACTGCTCAGGAGTAAAGGTCAGGGACATTTTGACTCTTTAGAGACTGAGATATTACGCAGTAATACGCCCAAGAAAAACAATGCCATTCTAATCTTAGGTGGCCTAAAATTCATGAGGGTTTAGAGATCTCATCAGTCTATGCATCTAAATAATCAGTCTTAAATTAGCCGCAGGAAAGATCTAATTATTTTTTCTACTGCAGCTTCCTCCCTTTCCCCTTAGTATTTTGTGGCAGAGTGCTGAAGAATATTCCTGCAGCTTCAAATTCATGATTAATTATTCTTAAATTATTAAACAGGAGTCTCTGAATCATCCTTTCTTTATCTACCTGTAGACACATTTTGTCTACCTTGATCGTATGCCTTTTATTAACCTTGTCCTCAAAGCACAATATTTCCTCGAGTCATTGTATCTACCTAAAAAGTTGTGCCATCCTCTGTTCTGCAAAGTGAAAGAACCTTTTTTTTTATTTTTAAAGAAAAAAAAAAAGAAATCCTTCATCTTTCCTTCTAACAAGAACAGGATGTGCAGTAACTTTGGTTTACATAAGCATTCCTGGAAAGCACGAGTGTGACTCTGGAATCAATAAAAGCTGCAGTGTAAGAGTATAAAGAAGTAAACTTTTTTGTGAAGGTACGTGGCTGTGCAGGGGTACGTTAAGAAGACAAAACTTCAGGCCTCTGTTTTACAGCAACTGCACAAAATACATGTACAATAAATTACTGGGACTGTTCCCTTCGATAGCTTTAGGTAATGAAGTGCATTCAGTATAAGAATATGAAAGTATTATTGCACTTTCTGCATACAGGGAGTACGGAAACTGATGTCCACGTCTGAGGAGTTGTATCTATTACCTAGAAATGAAAATAACGAGCCTTACTTGAGCTACAGTCTTACACAATTTAGGGTGTAAGAGACGCAAAAGCAATGGCGCAATGCAGAGCGTGCTCCTTTAGGCTCACTTGGCATGGGACAGCACCCTGTCACTGCACACTACCGACACTGATTTATTCACCTTGCACTAGTGAGGCTGGCAAAGCTACTCCAAAGTATATTTGCACCGTAATTTTAAACCTGACTCAGTGGTCTGAGTACAGTAGTAAACTGTAGAACTTGGAGGAGAGTAAGAAGAACCAGACTGAAAAGAAGAAATCCGTCATCCCTGCACTGTTATGCTCAGTTAACACACTGCGCACAGGCAGCATTTTAAAAAGGGGGGTGACACTGGCAGCAGAGAACAAATGTTTTCACTGCTCTTCTACTGAGTTTGAAGTAAAATAAGAACGGGGAGTAGTAGTAGTGCTACAAGGCAACACCTGAAGAGGCAAACAGCAAATTGCACACTCAGCTCTCATCCCTGTGCTACAGAAGGATGTTGCCCGTGGCTGTGCTGGTACAGTGCAAAGAGGCAGGTGTTACCTGTCAGCTACATCTTCGGTTGCTGAATTACCATAAAGACTTGCTTCGATGGAATCAATGAATCAGCTTTGGTTTCACTCTAATAAAAACTTTGGAGTGGAATTTGAGACAGTGATTCCTGAGAAACTGGGGAGGAAAACCATATCCCAACTGCGCTGTCATTTCAGAACTTGCACCCAATTTTTCATACCACAGACAGCGGAGAGCTGAGCACTTTGCATAGCTCTTCATTGAGTCAAACACAGCAGCTGGCAACCTGAGCCATGAATCATAACCTAAAAGCAGCGTGCAGCTCACAGGGCTCTCCTACAGCCGGACTCCTCTGGATCACCCCACACACTGAGGCACTTCTCAGGGATCTACTTCATTAGATCTGGTGTGAGACCTCTCGTCAGGGACTCGGCCTTTCCCTGGTAAAACAGTGTGTGCTGCTTGTCTGTACTGCATGATTAATACACAAGGAGACTCAGGTACTCTTCAGGACATTCAGAATAATAATGGTTATAGATATAGATGTATATATATATAATTTAAAATTTTATTTAAAATTTTACGCATACACTTCTTCAGCATCCTCCTCTTTTTTTTTTTCATTGCACTGAAAAGTTTCAAAAAACACAAAATATATCCCTTTACTAAACATTTTTTTTTGTTCTTCGGTTACAAAAAGATTAACATTTCACAGTCACAAAGCATAAGTACATTGGTCCAAAACATCTTCCTCCAGCAGGTCCTCCATTCCTCAGGACATATAAAACCTAGAGAGTTTTACAGGTCTCAAAATAAGATGACTTGTCCAATGAAGGGAAGAAAACAGTGACGGCTATTAAAAAAAATCCCAAACCGAAATAAGATACCTATGAAAGAACATCACCAGCAACAGTTAAAAAATATAAAGAAAAAAAATAATAATAAAAAAATGAGACCGGAGGCGGGCAAGGGCATCCTCCTTCAAGTACGTCACAGGTAGAAATACAGCAGCACGGTTACAGCATGGTTTGGTCACGCTCTATGGCAGCCACATCACTACGTCTGCATCTAAGACACGTGGAGGAAAACTATTTACACACCGAGAATGTCGGGGAGGAACAACAATTCTGTAGAGTTTGCAGCTCCTGTTTGATACAAGTGTTGAAATTATTTGCACATGAGATTAAAAAAAAAAAAAAAAGCAGCAAAATGCTGATGCAGGAAGAAACACAGCAGATTGGCTTGGAGTGTGTAGTGTTCTTTAAAATCTAGTAAAAGCTCAAAGCTAAAACACCAAGTGCAGTTCTTAGTTCTTCAAAAATGTCTTGGAGACACGGAGTCTACTGCATCTCATAGACCTTGCCTGTCGTGTTTTAATATGGAATCAACTTTAACATGAAAAAGCACGGCTAATGGCAGGCTATGACCGCTTTCCTTTAGCTTGTTAGACCTGTTACTCTTTAGAAGTCCTTTTATTAAAAGCATTTTCTCTCTCCACCATGAGGCCATTGAAAATTAGCTCTCATGGACAACTTCTGTGTTCATACGGGAAACATCACTGCATTAATTTAACAGAAGACAGTTGCATCCCTCACTTAAGGTGTAAATGACATTTTGAACTATTGTCTTCATCTAATTAAGTAAAGGTGAGTTCAGGCTGTAGTGTGAGAGAAAACCTCTGGAATGTCTGTCCTACTTCTGCAACAGCATTCGCAATGGTAGAAGCTTCTTGGGTCTGGGTTTCTAGAAATTGGACTGGACCAGGCACCAGAAGGCAATGTTAGATGGTGTTGTCTGCTGATCTGAGCTATGTGGCATGCTATTTCCTTTCCTTGCTGGTGTCCAAGGAATGAAAGCTTGCCTTGTTTTCCGAGCAGTGCCAACGCACTGGCAAGGATACAGCACTGTGCAATGGCAGTGCTAATCCAGATGTAACTCAGGGCTGAGCCTCCTTGCTGCTCACACTCAAACAATTTTGGATACTACGAGAACTTCACTAGCCAAAAAAAAACCAACAACACATACTGCTGATGGCATCAGGCAGTGACTAAGATGATGTGCCAAGGACCTAAGAGGTGGACTTGGTGCCTAACTTGCTCCAGTTCGAGATGAGCTCCTGATTTCAGAGCTTCACTGAGCAGCAGAGCAGCTACAAGTCTGAACATGGCCGCATCCATCCTGTGCCTACCTGAAAAATGGCATTGTGCATTGTGGACCACAGCAACCCTTCCTCCCTGCCGTCAGTGATTTCTAATGCTGTGACTCCCAAATAATGCACTCTGTGATGAAATAGGGAATGTGTTTAGTTATACCAGCTTCACACAAACCTCCCCAATAAATGGCTCCTGCTTCCTATTTGTGCCATGCTTTGGCGTGTAGATGTATTTATACCATGCTGTGAAGCAGAGCACAGAGCACAGTGCAGGCATGTAGGAAGCTCCTCATGAAGGCGAATAGAAGTGAGAGCCCAGGTGCTAAAGCGGCGTATCAGAGGTGAACCAGCGACACTCAGGGTAGGCAAGCCTGTAAATGTGTAACAGGGACTTTGTAAAGAAGCAAAACAAAAAAACATCACAGCATAGTTTCAGCCACATACATCTGAGTAGAAAGCTTTTTATTACTCTTGAAAATTTTCAGAATTGATGCTAATTTATGTCAATTGTTGATCCTGTGCTTCTGCCCTTTCCAGGAGAAGAGCTCATAGCTAACACAACTTGACCTAGGTAGGCGCAGCAGCTGCAGAGAAGCAGGCTGACTGATGGCAATGCCTCAGGTGAACAGCAGAACTGGAGGCTGATGCACAAAGCCATACTAGTGCCTGCCAGATTTTGCTCTGAAAACCGATCCCTGAATTTGCTCCCATCGAGTCATGCACTCTGCCACCCCATCTCTCTAGGGGCACGTTTAAAAACACCACTGAAAGAGAAGATGCATTTTCCATTGCCTTGAAATTTCACTTTTAAATTTTGGCTGATGCTATCCCGGAAATTAATTTCTACCACATTGTACTCAGTGGTTTTATTATGACTGGTGTGAATGCTGACACCGTGTTACTGAATAATGAAGACTAACACATGGGTACCGAAATGTTTGACTCCAGCTTGTAGCTGGTAACAGCAAGCATCAGCTTCTTTGCTGTTCATGTGGCTTTGGAGGGATTGCCATTAGTTTCTTCATTAAAGGGGATCTTTATTGCTAAAGGACTACACAACTGCATTTGCAAAGAGACAACAGGAGTTACACAGAGCATGAAAAGCATGTTTACAAGTTTATTAGGCCAAAAAAAAAGAAAAAAAGAGAGTGCAAGAGAAGATCTCCTGCTTGAACTTCAAAACATATGTGGGGCCATGTGAAAAATACTCTAGACTCCAAACCTGCAGATCTCTTTTCACCCATTTGCTCACACAAAAAGATGTAAAGGGGAAAAAATAAAAAGGAATAGATAAAGTGTGATAACATATAATCAGATACACGGTTGATTTATACTGAAGCTCTAGAACATAAAACCTCAGTGTTCTGCACAGCTTTATCATATGCAGGCACTGGGGCATGCACGGAACAGTTTCCAGGCTAAAATCATGCAGTTTGCTGCATGTGCGAGCCATTGCTCACTCTGCATCGGCTCAGCTCATCTCTGAAACTCCTCCTGGGTCTAGAGACTTAGAGAAGGGCATCTGAAATTCTCCGAGAATGTTGCACACGTACTTTTGGATGCAATCAAATAAAGCATCTGGGCAGCTATACCGAACAGCACTGTTCTTTGTTTACATAGCACATTATAAATTATAAAACTGGCAAGCTCGAGGCTACTCCTGTTCAGGAGAAAGTCTGCACACCTCAGGGAGCACAAAGGACACAGCATCCTCCCCTTCGAGCTGGCAGTTTCTCCTTTAGAAAGGATATAACATTTGTGAGATGCCTAGTCAGTGCTCTGCAATTATGTCAGCTCCCTGTCTTTTGGCTATTCAAGAAGTAGCTTTTATGTACAAGCCAGATTAGCAGCTCCAAAAGAACGTGGTCTGGGAGCAATTTAGGTTGAATCTGGCTCCCCAGCTGACACATCTGCCTATATATGAGAACCTTCCTTTTTTTTTTTTTTTTTTTTTTTTTTTTTAATTGCAGCCAATGAAGTGAAGAGCTGCCTGTCTGCAGAGCAGGCAGCTAGGTTAAGCTGCAGATTTGCTCAGTTGTTACTCCCATGGATTTGCTTTTACTCCAATAAGGTACTCAGGTTTTCTTTATTTAAATCGATTCAGTACAGCTAAGAAAAAAGCTGATGAAGCTAGTGAGGGGTGAAGGGCTGGTAACTATCACAGTGATCTTTTGATCCTCAACTACAGTCCTCAACAAGTGAGAGGACAGAAAGTTATAAGCTGTCACTTTCTGGTAGCCAAGTCAAGCAGGAAGCAGGAATATGCTGAATAGTAAGTGAGGCAGGAAGAAGTGAAATCATTCTTAAACAGATCACTATCTGTGTACCCAAACTGATAACCAGAACAATATCATCACTACAAGTAGAAATCCAACTGAAAATATACTCAGGAGCCCAAATAAATTTACTGAATCCCAGCTGATGCAAAAACTGTGTGTTCAGGGATCCTTTCAACAGGATAAGGCAGACAGACCCATTCAATGAATGAAAATCTGATCCCAAAGAAACCACGACCTCCAGGTAAACATCACATAGAGCTGAGTTTGCTTGCTCTGTATAAGCATGGTATGCACACAACAGGGAATCTCAACAAATACTTCCTCGTATCAGAGCAAATCTTGCAGTACAAGACTGTGACCTATTTCTCCTGGACAATTTTGCAGCTGGCTGTTTTAGCTGCAGTAAACATGTATAGTCACACTAAAAACGATTTCAGTTTTCCTACTAAAATACAGGAGTATAGTCTACTGAAGAAGAGACAAGAGGAAAAATGGGGATTCAAAGGATTACACAAGTTTGCAGTTGTCCATAGGTAAGTCATGAAAGCAACTTTTTGGAAGAAGAAAACTTTTTAGTCTCATATATATATCTATAAAAGTATTTTTAAATGAGATGTAACCCAAGTCACTACTCTGAATACCTGGGGTTGGACTTCAGGAGCCTCCATGGCTTCTGATACCCACCTCTACTTTCACAACTGACATGGCTCTTCCAAGCTACATGGTAAACTGAAAAAAATTAACTCGTATTTCAGGTCTTCACCCGGAGGGATGACAGAATCCGTAATATGCTAGCAGCATTTAAATCCCATTCCCGTTAAGCACCAAAACCTTTTCTATAGGGGAGTTGTAATCTTAAGGGTTATCTTTAATCATATACAGTATATGTGCAGAGCCCTGCCTTTCGGGCAGAAAAGTACCCCTCCAGCATTAGCTTTGAATAGATTACATCAGTTGGAGATGTCCCGGTCAGATCACCAAATGCACATTGTCTCTTAGAGGCCCTTCCTGAAAAGATCCCCTTTCTGAAAACGCTCTCGATACTGCTCTCACGACTGCTTGTTCCCGTGTATTAAAGGAATGACGTAGACAGAAATGTCGTCTCCAGAGCCCAGCCTGTCGTTGGAGATTCGCCAGCCCCGGTCCTTCAGCACTCCCCGGGCTCGCATCACCAGGTCCTGCGCCGCCAGCGTGTACCTGTGGAGAAGGCAGAACACAGCCAGGGAGGGCGAGTATTACGGCCTAGTTTGGTGAAGAAAGCCTGGAGATTTACATTTGTCAGGAACAAGGACAAGCTACCCAGAAGCAGAGAAATGTTAACCACAACATCCGCGCAAAGCAATCGTTCATAATTCAGTAGCAGCTTTTGTCTCAGAAGGTATTTCACAGGCAGTGATCAATCAAAAAGCGAGCAGTCATTTTAAGTGCCCGACTTCACAACTTTTCAGAAAATATTAAAAAAAAATACCTTAACAAATTAAGTTTCTAGTAGTCTGAAAATTTGAGGACACAAAATAGCACCGCTTGTTTACTGAGACCTATACTTGGGGACTGAAACACCTGGAGGTAAATATGGGTTTACTCATTCCATAGACAAACTGTAATAAAGAATGCAATTTGAAAATAAGCAATATTTAAAAATAATATCCAAATTGCCCTTTAAACCAAGCAGATAAGCTATTTTCCTTGACTGTAAGAATGATTTTTGAATCTCTTGTATAGTGAAACTGGAAAAAGAAACTTAATACAGCAGATTCAGAGTCCACAGTC